AACTGTCACAAGAGTGAGTAAACCAGGACTGGGGTGAATTGAATCATTAAAAGATCCTTCTAGTAAAAACAAACAACACAAAGACAGGCCCTGTTTAAGGAATCGATCTGTATGGAAGTCCATTTCTGCCAAATCAAGTTAAAAAACAATCACTACGCAAAGTTACGTGAGATCAAAAACGATGAATTATGCTTGATCACAAATAATCCACCATCCATAATTAAGACTTTGTAAGTGAAGATGTTTTACTATCTGGTAAACTTTTTTAAATAACCTCGAACAATTACTTTTTCTTTCTACCATTTAAGGGAACATTGAAAAAATATCCTAGTAAAACCTTTCTTCACTTATTTTTAAGCCTTAATGTAATTTTTGAGTTATAATTTTAACTTCTATTTCCTTACAACTACTACATAATGTGCATACATACAAGATTATTACTTGACTCAGTTATTTGAAATGCAATTTGACTCTCTCCATTATAATGTCATAACTATGTCATAATTGTGACTTTTATCTTAGTTTTGAGTATCTCATATTGAACTTACCGTCATTATTTCTTTAGTAGTAGTCTTGATCTTTTTTTAAATATTTTTCTGGCAGATCTTGGCTTCCATAATGTTAGCTGACACTGAGAGGAGATTCCAAATGAGCACGAATTTATATATATATTTATATATATATGTGTTGTGTATGTGTGTATGCATGACCCTCCCCTGACTCAGAGATGTGTTCCTGTTCCTTGGCTTGGCTTGTAGCTCCATTACCTCGACCTGCCACCTACTAGGATGCACTTATCCTCACCTTTCCTCTTTACTACTAGGTGCAGAACACAAACATTTCTAAGGGAATTTGTCATCAGTTTAACTGATTTGACTTTATATAATGCTTGCCCTTTAATCTCCCTTTTGGCTTTTAGTAAGGAACTGGGTACTGTCTGATGCAGGCGACATCCACGTGCAGTTTTTATATATTTCTAGCTTATTTGTAAGTCTTGCATTCCAACCTCTTTGTGTAATCTCGTTAGTGACATAGCCCATTTTATTTGTATCACTTGCTATAACAGCCACCTCTGGAATAAAAAGGGTGAAAAAAGGTGAACGAAAATAGAATATTTGCATTCACTTACACTATTTTCTATAGCATGGAGTTTATCAACTACAGGGAGAATTATATAAATGATGTGCTTCGGAGAAAGAAAGAAAATGAGAAGTCTTTGCTTTTTTTTGTTACATATCTCACATGCAATCAGTTGCTGCAATGTAGAAGTGACAAGATTTGTATATTGGTTGATCCAAAGAGATGATGAACACAACAGAAGTATTTACTTATTGTACAGTACAGTGTATCTTTGACTTGTCATGTGTTATGTTGAAATGATTAAAAGACAAACCAGCGGTTTCACACTCTCTTCGCATTCTTTTTTGATTTTTGAACACTTTCTCTTTCTATCAATAGACATAGATCATTATTATTGTAAGATGGCCTAAGCCTTTTTTACACAACCATACCATAGAGGTGTGGAAGGTGAGCCCTCCTCTCAGAGAACATAAGAACAGCCGCGCCCCAGAGGTGGGGGACTCGAGTCACATGACTTGACTCGAGTCGCATATTTTTGGACTTGAGACTTGCTCTTGACTAACATTGATAAAATACTTGACTTGACTTTGACTTGGTATTCATGACTTGACCACATGACTTGAGACAGATTGACTCGAAAGGACTATACTTTTTTTAATTAAATATTTGCATTTGTTTTGTATTGTACGGAGCCCCTAAAGGGAAATGCTTTTACGCAACGCCTTCACTGTGTTTACTTTCATTAGAACAGCTGAAGAGCGACGCAGGCTGCTTAATTTTAACCACACACACCTCTACACACGCCGGCTGGAGCCGCCGCGGTCTGCTCCCCCCCCAAAACCCTCCTAACCTGCGAGGGGGCACTGAGCGTGCAGCTAGCACATCTCCACCGGCTGCTGGGTCGCCGAAGAAACGGTCAGCCTCCTCAAGCCAGGGCGCGGGGGTTCAGTAATGGTCGTGTTGGCCAGCGCCATCTGAACCCGGGGCGGCAAGTGGCCGCAGGAACGTCTCCACAAACAAAATCCGGGGATCTTGTCAGTTGACCATCAGTTTATCTATCGGTTTACATCTGTGTATATCTGCTTTTATTTATGGCTACTGATTATTATGTACTTTACTTATGTTAAGTATGATATAACATTAATATAGTTAAAGCATGTGTTTCTATTACCCACTATTGTTTTTTAACTTCTTTCAGAGTTCACCATTGCTAGATGTGTGTCTGAAGTGCCGCCTCAACTAGCACTTCCACTGTGCCTATTGTCCCAGCCTACACTAATCAGAAGAGGACCAAATTCACCAAGCACCTCTCGGTCACAGTGTGTTGGACAAATCAATAACTGGAACCCTGCAAACTCTGGTGGCACCACAGACAATCAAGACACCGCAAGGTAACCTGCAGACTTCGGTGGCAACCACCGACAGTCAAGACCCCGCAAGGTAACTTGCAGACTCCAGTGGCACCACCGACAGTCAGACACCGCAAGGTAACCTGCAGACTCCTGTTGGCACCACAGACAGTCAAGACCCCCGCAAGGTAACTTGGCAGACTCCAGTGGCACCACCGACAGTCAAGACACCGCAAGGTAACCTGCAGACTCCTGTGGCACCACCGACAGTCAAGACACCGCAAGGTAACCTGCAGAACTCCTGTGGCACCACAGACAGTCAAGACCCCGCAAGGTAAACCTGCAGACTCGGTGGCACCACCGACAGTCAAAACTCCAGTGGCAGTCGAAACACTGCAAGCCAGGGAGGCAATTGCCCAGCCACCTCCTTTTGCACATGCAAAGAAGCCCACAGATCTTCCTCTTGCTGAGCAACACAAAAAAAGAGACGTTGTTAAATGTGAGCAATGTAATTGGAATTGAAGACATTTTTTTTTGAGAACTCATAAGAAGGAAACACACAGATCATTTGGACAACATTTCTGAAGACCGTTATCTCAGGTCACAGTGTGTAGATGTTAAAAGAGGGATCTTTGCTGTGGAGAAGTCTTTCCATGGCCCAGCAACCCCCAGTTCCTTTCATCAAAAATACTTGGTCACAAACACAGAGGTCAGAGTGTGAGGTTGATCAGTGTAATTGAAATGCAGACTTTGCATTTAGAAGTGGTCTCCTCCCATTTGAATGTCACCACCATTCGGTCCTTGTGCTTTTGTCCTCGTGCCAATGTACCAAATGTTGCTCTGACTGAAAAGGAACTGTGTGTAATGGTTCAAAACCATTGGTTTGGGGAAAATCGTAAAAAAGAACTTTTAAAGAAACAAGAAGATGCTAAAGTGGAGGATCAGCTCTTCTAACTGTTGGTTAGACGAAGTTGCATATCTCTGTTTTTGAACCTTCAGTGTCATACTACAGCAGGCTTGGAAGGGTAGTTGTGGCATATGACACAAATAAAAACACTTGGCATTGCCCTTGTACGATTTCCAAAAAGTCATGCATCCACAAGGCTATAGGCAAATGGCATCTTTTTTGAGACAAGGAGGGACCTATTCAAAAGAGTTAAGAGTACAGAAGAGTACAGAAGAGAACTCTTGAATGAAGGCCAACTGAAGCACTCTGACAAAGAAAATTACCCAATCACTGACAGAGGTATTGAAAGGATTTTGAAATACATCACGTCTCACAAAAAAATACCACCTGAACTTCCCGTGACACTGGTTGCAAACTCCAGAAATGAAAAGGCTTCACTTGGATTTCCAAAGCATCTTGTTCCTGCTGAGGTCACTTGCAAGGAATGTGTTGAACAGAGTGTCCTCAGCGACCCCCAGTTGATCACCAGTAAAGCGAGGATTTTAACATGCTCTGGCATAGTTGAAGGTCAGTGACATTGCATGGATGCTGTAGCCTACTTGATAACTAATGATAGCAATTTGTTTTGCTTTAAAGTGTATTGCTGAAACACAATTCACATAATGTATTTTTTAGGGCTGTCAGTCGATTAAAATATTTAATCGCGATTAATCGCATGATTGTCCATAGTTTATCGCGATTAATCGCAAATTAATCGCACATTTTTGATCTGTTCTAAATGTACCTTAGAGGAATATTTTTCAAGTTTTTAATACTCTTATCAACATATGAGTGGACAAATATGCTTTATGCTAATGGTTATTATCATTTGAACAATGACAAATATTCTCATGAATATTAAACACAACAACCTCTGAACATTACAAATATTCTCCTCCATTCAACCGGGAACCTCTCTCATTCAATAATACAATACAACTTGTGTGTGTTGTGTGTGTGTGGTGTGTGTGTGTGTGTGTGTGTGGTGTGTGTGTGTGTGTGTTGTGTGGTGTGTGTGGTGTGTGTGTGTGTGGTGTGTGTGTGTGTGTGTGTGTGTGTGTGTGTGATGGATCGTTGGAGCTCTGTGCAGCTCAAGGCATATGCTCGAACGGGAGCTGCCTGGACGCTGCAATCATGTTGCACTATCCGTGCTGAGTGTGCTGACTTTTCGTACAATGTCCCGCTGTCTGGCCTTCCTGCATAAAGTCAAGTGCTCGGCGCAGTTGTGGCGAAATGTCGCTCCTCTGTTTTCATTTAAACAACTCCATATCCGTTAGCGCAGCTAGCTAGCACCAGATGCTAACAACAACAATGCACGTAAGGTCTCTCTCTCGCTCGCTCGGGCCACACATACACACACCCTCCCGGTCCTCCCAACAGCCAGTCGGTGCCTGCCGGTGAGCGTGGAAGTGTTGTCAGCTTGTAGATGGTATTTTAAACTCGATGCGCTCTGAAACTACGGGGCGGCCGAGGAAAAAAAATACACATGCGTTAATCGCGTTAAAATAATTAGTGGCGTTAATTTTTTTTTGCGTTAACGCGTTATTAACGCGTTAACTTGACAGCCCTAGTATTTTTATATGACATGTAGGCTACATTTGCACTTTCAGGCATATCGACATACAAAAGACATGTCCCAGTTGCGGTATGGTCTACCGCTATCAGGAGTGGCAGGATGGAATCCACAATTTCGATAACCACATGATGCTCTCTCTACATGTGTGCCTTACTTTAAGAAATGCATTACAGGTTAGGCTTTTTGATTTCTATCAGTATACACATTATCTACGTAATCAAAACAGGCAAATTTGTATCGGCAGAAAAAAAGGTTATTTCAGATTTATTGATTTTACAATCGACTTTATGCTGAAAAATAGGGCTGCAACTAATGATTATTTTCATTGTTGATTAATCTGTCGATCAATTTCAACAGTTGTTTGGTCTATAAAATGTCAAAGAATTGTGAAAAATGTTGATCAGTGTTTCCCAAAGCTCAAGGTGAGGTCCTCAAATGTCTTGTTTTGTCCACAATCCAAAGATATTCAGGTTACTGTCAGAGGACTAAAGAAAGCAGAAAATATTCACATTTAAGAAGCTGGAATCAGCTTTTTTTTTTTTAAATGACTCCAATTAATTGATTAATTGAATAGTTTGACTAATCGATCTATCGTTGCAGCTCTACTTAAAAATGTCTCTTCCTCTTTTCTCAGACCCACACTGCAGTTAGCCGTGTAATTGGGATTATTGAGGCAACTGAGGGAGAGTCCTTCCCTAACAAGGAGAAGGTGCTACAGGTGTATCTCTCCTTTGAAGCCCTCTCTGAACATGACTACACATATGCCTGTGTTTCATGGGTATCACCCTGTAACAGTTGTCATGGATCTTCATAAGAAGGGCGTTTTCAGTATGCCTGGTAAAAAGCTTAACTGAGTTGAATTTTCTATACAATAGAAATAAGTCAATCATAACTGAAATACATTGCAAGATCTCAAAGCTTTTTAAAAGTGTTGTAGCAGTGGTTTATCGTGTTTTGTTCAGTTTTGGTTTTTACATTTTCAGTTTCATTCAACTGATTTTCTTCTCAGTCAGTGAAATCCAAAATCCACCTCAGCAGTATGATGGTAGAGTCAATGTGAAAGACTTCTGGGATGCAGTGACTATGGAAATCCTAAGCCGTGGTTTCTATCCCAGTAAGTTATCTGTATCATCAGTTTTAAAGCAAGGAAATGCTGTGAAATGGTATTTCAACACTAGATCACACAATCTAGGGCAATTTGCTGATGCATCCTGGAAGTTATGATTCTATGGAAAAAAGTAAATTACACTTTATATACTTAAATGTTTGACATATATTTCAGGTGACGGCAAGAATCCTTTCATTGTCCGTCCAAGTTATCAAAACTGGGCACCGTGGATTGGACAGCATACCAGACAGTCAGATATTGTGTTCAACACGGAGTATGCCAAGATCCATGTGCCAGATGTCTCCACTGATGCGGACGAGCGGGTGACAGAAGAGCGACTGGCTGATGGTGTTAAACCTAAAGGTAGATCCAGAACCTCTATCTACCTACCTGATACAATTTTAAATGTAATGCGAGTCAGATGCATCTACTTTTCATGTCAAAATAGGTAGCAGAGGTTAGGGCTCTATGTAAGCAGTGTGGCCTCGACAGCAAGGGCTCTAAGATGGACCTTGTCCTTCGTCTTCGTGAGAAAATGGCCAGCAGGACGACATATAATAAAGTGTTTGAGAAAGTCTGGGGTGCCTCTGGTTAGTGATCCCATCAGCACATAATTATGTCTTATGCTAGCTTGTCTAAATCAAATTGCATGATTACCATTTTACCAAGTTTACTGAGGATTTTCTTTCTTTCTAGGTGGTTGGGCTGTAGTAATGTGCCCATGTGGAGTCGTGTATTCTGTAAAGTTTAATCTCAGAGCTGAGAGTCCCAGAGACTTCACTGACATGCTTCTGTCATGGAAACATTTTCCAAATGTTACAGTGTATGACTACGCAAGGGGGCTGGCCAGTCATGCCAACTGCCGACAACCACTGGATCCTCCCTTCCATCCACATGAGGGGAGGTTACTTCCTCCCTCACCAAAGAACATCAAACTGGCTGCAGAGAGAAAGCTTAGGGTAGATGGCATGGCTTAAGCACAGGAAAGAGGAAGAGGACAAGGACTGCCATCCAATCACTGGATCGTCTGATCATTATGCTTTGCTTGATGTTTTCCATCAATGCAACAGCAAAGATGACAGGGATCTCCTTCGGAGAATTGAACTTGTTCCAGAGCTTGCTGGGCACATTAACAGCCAGTGTACTGAGCAGTTATTCTCCGGGATGCGGAAAAACAATTATTTCCTTAATATGCTCACACCCTCTGCACACATCTTCCTACAGAGGAATATCTTGCACCTCTACAATGTGGACCGAAATAACAAAGTGAAAGAACAGTTCAAGAAAATTGTGGGAAGCAATACTGCGTTTAGCCTTGATGTTAATGGAAGAATCACCTTGGGTAATCATGAAAAGCTTGCTCTGTGTGCATGTAATTGTGTATTCATCTAATATGGTCTATGTATTTGAAATTGATAGAGGATACACATAGTGCATGTGGTTATCTATGACAGTCTTGGTATTCTTTTCTCAAATGAAGGGCATCAAAGCAAACCATGTCCTGGATGTAGGAAGGGCCAGATCCATTGGCAGCATGGTAAGCAAGTACCATTGTCTTGAAGTGGATTCTAGCAGTTACCGGAAGCCAGTGAAGGGAGCGGAGGAGCGGCGTGGTGTGGGAGAATTTAGGAAGGTTGAAGACCAGACGAGCCGCTGCATTCTGGATGAGCTGCAGAGGTCGGATGGCACATGCAGGTAGACCAGCCAGGAGGGAGTTGCAGTAGTCTAGGCGTGAGATGACGAGAGACTGGGCCAGAACCTGCGTCGCTTTCTGTGTCAGCTGGGGACGTATCTTCCTGATGTTGCCATTTTTCTCTTCTTTTACAGATCCTAAACAGCTGCCTCAAGGTCATAGAGAAGCTGGCCAATGACCAGGTAGTGAAGTTGCATACATTTTCCAATATAAATGTATCCCCTTCTGTTTATAATCTTTTCTGGACTGAAATAACAACTGTCTTACAGGGCATCAAAGTGTTCTCGGCAAACAGCTATGTCGTTCACACTTGGTTCATACCTATGAACCGGTACTTATGCGTATTATCATTATTATATTTTCTGGAATCATATGAGAATCACTGAATGTAAACTATTCATTTTACCATCTCTCCCAAGGATAAAGCAGACGATTTCCGGTGGATTCTGGTTCCTGTTCCCAGGGCCCAAGAGTTCAAAGCTTTTAATCTCAATCAGATCCGATCAGATTTTGAAATCCCATTTTTTGTGATCCAGGATCAGACAAGTCGGCCAAATGTTGTCCCTGGAGTTCAAAGCAATTCAGGATAGGATCAGTCTGTTCCAGATTACGATTTTTCAAGATGACTAGATCCTGAATATCAGTGCTTTAATCCTACCGATCGCCATCTAGTGGATATGAAAAAGAATACAAGGAAGACAAGAGACCACATTGCAGAGACATCTATAATGTTTAATTATATTTTTAAATACATAAAGGACATCAAATCATAATGAAATTGTAATTAAAAAAATACTCCCACTAGGGTAACAACAATAAAGCATTCATTCAAAGGCAGCTGGATCATCCAGGCGTGCTTTGAGGAGCTGAATTCTCAGTGAGGTTTCAGTTTGCTGAAGCCGGCACAGCTGTATTTGTTCTTCGGCCAGACGGATCTGCATCTCTGCCCTCTCCGTTTCACGGCTCAGCAGAGTCTCGTAGGCATCATCCCTCTCCGTGTCACGGCTCAGCAGAGTCTCGTAGGCATCATCCCTCTGCTCTGGTTTTCTGGTGCGCTTGCATTTTCTCTTTAGAGGTGGCTCTTGCAGTGTGTCATCAGGCCTGGCTGAAGGTCCAGCTTCTGGATCCACATGGGTCAGGAGGACCTCATCTTCAATGGTGTGTGTCACATCAGGTGCATTGACGACCTGAAATGAAAGTTTATCAATATACTTTATACCCCTTAATAAGATGATCACAAGCATGCAACCTGGAAAATTGTAGTACTAGGATGCTATGTAAGACATATAGCCATTGTAGTACTATGAAAATAACAATTATACAAGATAATAATTGTAGTTCTATAGGAACAAGGATAAAATCACACATACCTGCGACTCACGTTACAACGTTACAACGTACAACGTTTGGTATTCCATGTAAAGATTGTGACTGCTGACCACCAATGATATCAAGTACCACATCTGTGTATTGTCCCCTTTTATGTGGTTTGTTACCCGTCTGTGGGTTTTTAGCCTGGCTGTGGTCTTTGGTAGCTTGCTGCTTCAAATTCTTCCACCTCAACCTCACTTGGTCCACCGTCCTCTTGTGTCCAGATCCTGTGGCATTCACATTGTCTGTAACTTCCATCCATATTCCGCTCTTTACTTTAGTCGCTCCACCCTCTCTGTTAAAGCTACCAACTGGAGTCATAATTGTTCCTTACACCCTGCAGCAGTGCATGGGTCTCAGCAGATGTAAAATTAGGCCCCTTTTTGTCCATCTTTCCAACTCAATGGTTTGGTCAGGTCATCAATTAGTTGTATAGGTCTGGCCTTGCTATTAATTACATAATTAACCACAGGCCCTAACCAATCTGGACATTCATTCCAGGTGTGTATTTGCAATTAGTTGTTATTCAGAGACTGATGTAGGCCTACTGACTGAAACAACAGTCAGAACACAGTCATGGCAGGGATTGTTCACATCTTCCATGCTGGAAGGAGAGGTTACCGCCAAAGGGTCCACACCGAGCGCCCCAAACCTCTCCAACAGTACACAACAGAAGAACTGTACAATCGTTTTCGATTTGGACTTGATGACATCAACTACATTGCTGATCTGGTCAGGCCACAACTGCAGTGCAGAACCTTGCGGAGTCATGCTCTGACTTTAGAGGAACAGGTCCTCATTGCCCTGCGCTTTTACGCATGTGGAACATTCTATGAGGTCATAGCTGACAGCATGGGAGTCCACAGGACAACAGTGGGTGAAGTGGTGACAGCTGTGTCTGATGCACTGGCTCGCCTGCTGGATCACTTTGTGACTTTTCCCACTGATGGCCAGATTGCCAAAGTGAAGCAGAACTTTTTTCTTCTGGGAGACATGCCCAACACCATTGGGGTGATCGACTGCACCCATGTACATATTCAAGCACCTCGTCAGAGGGAGTGGGAATATGTCAACAGGAAAGGGAAGCACAGCATCAATGTGCAACTTGTGGGAGATGCTGACCTTGCCATCACCAACTGTGTTGTGCGATGGCCTGGGTCAGTCCACGTATCTTCAGAGAGAACCGGTTGTTCACTGAATTCCAAACCAACAGGCCACTCCTACCATGGGTGATGACACCTTTTCCCACGGCCAACACTCCCTCACAGATGCGCTACAACAATGCCCATGGAAGAACAAGGTGTGCCATTGAGCGCTTGAATGGAGTACTGAAGAGGCGTTTTGCACGCCTCAACTATCTGAGAGTGGAACCCCAAGGAGCATGCCAAATAACACTGGCTTGTATTGTGCTACACAATATCGCTGTCCATCGCAGAGTCCCCCTCTCTGACATCGATGATCCCCCAGAGCCCCTCGCACCTGCTGATGATCTAGGCCCCACCTATGGATTTCCCTCTAAATGAGAGACTGAGTGGTGGTGCAAGGCGAGATGCTATTGTCTGCAATTACTTTTGAAAGGTGATGACAGATGATGGACTTTTTTTGGTAGAAGATATTTTTAATTTAATCTAAATTAAATTTGTGATTGACAATCTTTGCTGTGATACTTTCATGAGCATAAACATTTATGTCATCAACATTTGGTTGAAAACAAAATAGGCCACCACAAAAAAAAAATGGAAAAATTAAATGTATTTCCCATGAAGGCTAAAAATTGTGTATTATTTCAGTTAACAAACTTTGCCATCTAATTTATATTGAAACATATTTTAAAATAAATTGTACAGTACATTTTGCTCTGGTAATCCACTGGAAATCCACCCCTCTGCTGGGATCAGGATAATCCAGTTTTTTGGGATCAAATTGATCCCAATCCTGTGTTGTCGGTTTGAACCCGTTTAGAAGATTTGATCCAGATTAAAGCATGGATTGGATTTCCTGATCTGATCGGATATCAAAGTGATCCTAATCCTGTTGTTTGGTTTTGAACTCCCCAAAAGATAAATCTGATCTGATCAGATAGGGATTAAAAGTTTTGAACTCTTGGGCCCAGGGCATTGGACAATATGTGTCAGTGATATGAATTTACTTATCTGTATTTCAAGCTAAACACAAAATATTACTAATTTCATCAATAAAGTATAACATCTTCTTATACTGTTACTGTCATTTCAAAATTAAGATAAGTATTTCAGCCCAAATTTTGTAATTTTGTGTTCTATTTGCTGTGGTAACTATTTTGTAGATAATGAAGCCACAAGAAAGGGAGATTTTTTTTAGATTCCCTAAATGGGACTGGCTTCCGTGATGAAAGCCAAATGGAAACATTGAGGTTTTTAAGCACAGAAATTATGTTCAGTTTTAAGGTTCTGTTCTTATATTTGGATTATTTTTGTCTATGGCTCTGTGTTCAGTTTTACATTTAAAAGATGACCTCAAGCATAAATTGACATGTTATTGAACAAAAGATTGGACTGAAACTGAGCATAAGACATTTAAAATGGGAATGTTCTGTTCCCACCCATTTATAAGCTTTCTTTTCTGTTTGTTTCCTTAAAATCAAGCTCTTGGTCAACCTGTTCGGCATTCCACTGTTGGTGGTTCTGCAGTTCTGCAGTGTTCAAAAGTTGGTGGTTCCACCAGTTTGACAATATTCAACCAGTTATATGTTCCAGTTTTCAATTTTCTTGAATGTCCTTGTCTAAACAGCTGTGTGTTATCCCCCATTAGACAAGTTGCTCTGCTTGTGTCACCTGGACCCTGGAGAGAATTCTGTGCAAACGACATTCAAGTTAGTAATTATGATGCACACTAATTGAGTTTGATTCCTGGATTCCTACACTGTGTGTGTGTATATGTGTATATCATGTATATAATCTCACCTTCTTCATGAAATAGGGCATACCAAGACAACAGGCCTGTGGGGTGTTTGTGCTCATGGTATGGCTCATCTGATGAATTTAGCAATCTTTTCTTTACAGTTTTGCAATTAGTGTGTAATGTTTTTTTTACTCTTGAACAGTATGCCCTCTACTTTGTGATGGAGTCAGCTTTTGATTTCAGTGAGGTAGGCCACAGAGATACACTTTTGATCAGTCCTTGTGGTGTTCCCTTTTCATTTTAATATGCATCTTTTTTTGCACAGTTGGACATGGAGCATTTAAGGAGATGGTGGTGCATGCTACTCATTGACAACTTCCCCGTGACGTAAGTATTCTTACCGTGACACATTTTGTGCATGTGTCATCTTGAATCTTTTATTGTATTGTTTTTATGTCTTATGAGGGCAAAAAAAAAAAAAAAAAATTAAATTAAACAATAAACCAGTTGTGTTTGTTAACAATTCCCATATCACTTGTTGTCACTGATAGATTCGAAGGCAGAAGATCAACCAAAAGACGATTGGAGAGGGAAGACTGCGAAGACAGTCCCAGGGTAAGTAATCATGATGACCCAGACCCACCCAAAAGAAGTAAAGTCGTAAAGGAAATGGCATTCTGCAGCGACTTTGGATGGGTATGTAGACTGTCATTTACTACTTAAAATCTCCATGGATGTGCTCCACAGCCATACAGCTTGTTGCTTCCACCTCTTATTCAAGGGGGCAATGTGTCATGATGCAAGTACAACTGTTTTACCATGCAGTAGTAATTCCTTTTATCTGGTGTCTTCCAGAAAAAGGACCCACTGGCAAAGACGGCTGCAGAAGAAATTCAGCTCTGAAGAGGAGGATGGAGTACGTGATAATCTGTTATACCTTACATGAAATTCACAGCACTTCCTTCTGTTCTTTTGCAGCGACTGGTAGAAAATGGCTGAATATATTTTGTACCACTGATTTAGATAGTGTTGCATGTGCAAGTTTGTGTGCGTCATAATTACACATTCAAAGCATCTTGTTGCAAATCAGCAGCAGCACTATAAGAATAGTAAATGTACAGTGTAGTAGCAATGCGTAAACTATTTCTCTTCTTCCCAGGAGAAGCACCCCTTTATAAGTAGTGCTATGGCGGCATCTCAGTGGTGCTCTGCAAAGAAAATGGGCGATAAAGTCATCCTGCCACAAATTCTTTCCATGGCCCCACTGGACAGAGAAGCAGCTCTCCATGACCTTGGTGAAGCCAGCAACCTGCGGGACGAAGACAGCTGGGAAGACAGGATGGACCCATTTATGTTCAGTTTCAAATTTGAGTCGGACTATTTAATGTTTTTTGAGCAGTGCATTGATAAAGAAAACCTTAAGGTTCATGCCTGTTTTGAAGAGCGCGGTTGAATGTTTGCATCAGCAAAGCCTTTCACTGTTGTATAGATTTTTTTTTATATACTTGGTTTGGTTTTTATATTTACTGTATTTGCTTTTTTGGTTCTGTTATCTTAATGATTGTTCTGTTATATGATAAATGTTGTAAATAATAAATGCTTTTTCTATCATTCTAGGAAATGCAGTGCAATGTATCATTTGAAATATATGGACTAGATACAGGCCCGGTTCCAGAACAAAATGTCTCAGGGTGCATCTGAGATTTGAGAGGGTGCAGTCGTAAAGTGCTATTTTTATAAGTGGGGAGTGGACCTAACACCCTCTAGGGGGGTCCTCACCTCCTATAGGGGGGTCTGGGGGCATGCTCCCCCGGGAAGATTTATTTGAAAATATTGAAGTTAAAAGCATCAATCTGGTGCACTTTGAGAGCAACATGAAGAGATCTATGGAAACTAGGGCTGCTCGATTATGGCAAAAATCATAATCTTGATTATTTGGGTCAATAATTGTAATTGCGATTATTAAATGCGATTATTCATTGACTTTGAAAACATCTATTTATTGGAGAGAAAACTATTTGAACAGTATGTTTTTAACAGTTGAAACCCTGAACTTTAAGTATAATTCAACTGAAAAACCCCAAAAACCCAAAAAAAAAGAAAAGTAATAATAATAATAAAAAAATAATCGTTTTATTTCGATTACGTTGTTTTCGTAATCGTTGCAAGCCATAATCGTAATCGCGATTAAAATATGATTAAAATACGATTAAAATACGATTAATTGAGCAGCCCGAATGGATACATCTCAACACCATATGAAACAGAACTTTAAGCAGATTTTCTATTTCTTTATGGATATTTTACAAATCACTCCCCTTGACCGAAATGTCTACATGCAGAAGATGGCATCGTTTTTACATGAATATTCCAGCCAATCTCTGTTTTGAAACCATGAGCTGCAAAATGAGGGCCTTACCCCACTGTACAGGCGAGTTGGGTACTTTTTTAAATATACCTGGGCAGGCTCTGTTTTGCCGAGGTCCTCTGGCACTTGGGGCCGCCGAAGGGTGGCGGTGTTTGGGGCAACGAAGACGGCTGCTCCGCCTCCGTGGGAGAGGCGGGCAAAGCCGGCGAGTCGGGCGGGAGGACGTTAGTGTCCACGACAGTGGCCGCGGGAAACGTAATGTCCCCATGATCTGAACTGTTATTACCTGCAGTAGATGCAGTGTTACTGCTGGCGATAAGGGCTGGTTGTTTTAACCATTTTCTGATGTTCATCACTGACTGCTGTTTAAGCACCTTGCAGATGACGAACGCGCAGCGGCACAGGTTACGCGCACCTGACATAATAACGTTACTTACCGTTTAAATTGACCAAATAAATGCAGCACACAATGTTATTTAAAAGTGGGGTAAGTTTGAGAAACCGGCTCGAGATACACTTTTTGTTATATTCCATGGAATGCTCTTAACATCCCGATAGCAATGAATATCTGAAGTGCTTTGACAACAAATCCATAAAAACACATCATCTGTGGAAGCCGTGGTACTGTAAAAAGCACGACCAATCATCTGAGCCGGCCCGGCTAAAGTAACTGGATGGCCTACCTGCCTGTCAGCCTTCCATCTTGTGCACGCACAAATGTATCTCGTACCCTCATTGGGCGTGCCGTCATTGGGCATGCATTGCACGTTCATGTGTGTTGGAGGAGGTGCTCTGTCAGGAAGTCTGAAGGAAGGGGCGGATTCTTTTCGGCTGTGTACTTTCAAATTTTAGTGCACTCGAGCCGGTTTCTGAAACTTACCTACCCCACCTTTAACCACAATTTATGTTATTTCAATTATATTCTTCTTTTTAATATCATTATTATTACTACTACTATTATTATTGTTATTATATATGTAATATTTTTCACTTTTCATTTTTTCACTTTTCATTTTTCAGATGAGGGTGCATAACGACTCAACTGAGGGTGCAATGCACCCTTATGCACCCCCGTAGAACCGGGCCTGACTAGATATGAGTATGCACAGAACTGACTAAATGAATAATCAATTAAAACAAATATTAAATAATGAACTTAAATACACTAATATAGAAAATATGACTTTTTATACCACATTGCACATGTGGTATAAAAAGGTATATTTAAATTAGGGCTGTCAGTCGATTAAAATATTTAATCGCGATTAATCGCATGATTGTCCATAGTTAATCGCGATTAATCGCAAATTAATCGCAAATTTTTGATCTGTTCTAAATGTACCTTAGAGGAATATTTTTCAAGTTTTTAATACTCTTATCAACATATGAGTGGACAAATATGCTTTATGCTAATGTTTATTATCATTTGAACAATGACAAATGTTCTCATGAATATTAAACACAACAACCTCTGAACATTACAAATATTCACCTCAATTCAACCTGGAACCTCTCTCATTCAATAATAGTGTGTGTGTGTGTGTGTGTGTGTGTGTGTGTGTGTGTGTGTGTGTGTGTGTGTGTGTGGTGTGTGTGTGTGTGTGTGTGTGGTGTGTGTGTGTGTGTGTGTGTGTGTGTGTGATGGATCGTTGGAGCTATGTGCAACTCAAGGCATATGCTCGAACGGGAGCTGCCTGGACGCTGCAATCATGTTGCGCACTATCCGTGCTGAGTGTGCTGACTTTTCGTACAATGTCCCACTGTCTGGCTTCCTGCATAAAGTCAAGTGCTCGGCGCAGTTGTGGCGAAATGTCGCTCCTCTGTTTTCATTTAAACAGCTCCATATCCGTTAGCGCAGCTAGCTAGCACCAGATGCTAACAACAACAATGCACGTAAGGTCTCTCTCTCGCTCGCTCGGGCCACACACACACACACACACACACACACACACACACACACACACACACACCCTCCCGGTCCTCCCAACAGCCAGTCGGTGCCTGCCGGTGAGCGTGGAAGTGTGGTCTGCCACAAGCGGGTGGCAGGAGCGGGGCTGTCAGCATCAGCTTGTAGATGGTATTTTAAACTCGATGCGCTCTGAAACTACGGGGCGGCCGAGGAAAAAAAATACACATGCGTTAATTGCGTTAAAATGATTAGTGGCGTTAATTTTTTTTTGCGTTAACGCGTTATTAACGCGTTAACTTGACAGCCCTAATTTAAATACATTCATGCATTTAATTAGTATGAAGTTTTTATATTTAGTTTTTTAAATTATATTTAGTCGAGTGCAGATTTCTATTTGTACTTCTTGTAGTTGTCCAGAAGATGATGCTGTTTGTCTCATTAGGATATCCATACACCCCGCCCATCGGACGTCCAGCCCCGCCCACATCTGACCACGCCCCATTCCGCGTGCTGCAGTCAGGGCCTATAGATAAATCCGACCAACCTGGACGAGGTGGAGCTCCCCAGCACCACCACCACGTGAAAATACTAGGGCTGTCAAATGATTACAATTTTTAATCAGATTAATCACAGCTTAAAAATTAATTAATCATGATTAATCACCATTCGAACTATGTCCAAAATATGCCATTTCTTTATGTATATTATTGTGGGAATGGAAAGATAAATGAAAGAAGGCGGATATATCCATTTAACATACAGTATCTATGTTTATTATAACATTTTTCTGTGTGTCAAAATGAAAGACAGCCCACACACCTATCAATCATCAAACCGTGGGGTCTTAATTCATTACGTGTTGATTTCTATCAACGGGGGAGTACTTCAGGAAAGTCGACTGGGAGGGGGGGGGGCTAGTGGAGTACTTCGTGACCACAGAGTGGGAACGTTGTGATCAGCTGTTTTAGCGCAGTTCTCCAGTGAAGGGGGGGAGTCTCCCTCCGCAGCCGGTTGGCTAGTTTTGGCACAATTCCATTGTACAGACCGACGTTAACAGCAGCCTGTCTGTGCACACGGAGACCGTCTCTATCGTCCGGTGATCTAACCGCCTTCTGGAAAAGCTTCACAAGTACGTCGGTACGCAAATGCGCTTTGTGACACAAGTCACGGTACGCATTTCAGATTACGCACATAACCTGCGTACCAGTTATGTGCACCCCTGTACCAGAGTCCTGCACGGGTCTGATTTTCAAGACCCGCTCCCGCCCCGCACCCGCGACGTGCAATACCGAACCCGCCCCGCTACCCGCACCTATTGCCAATTAGTTCCGCAACCCGACCCGAACCCGCATACTGTATGAGCAGTGAAAACGTGCAATTATTA